CTAAAACACAAACAAATTGTGACAAAGTTGCGGAAATTTAATTAAAATCAAATACAACTAAAACTCGCCCCGTCACTGCTTTCTGGCTAACACACATAGGTATATAGCTGGCTGGGTGGGAAAAGGGGTAGCGAATTGGCAGTCAGGTGTGACCCGTAGTTTCTAACACGCTCGCATTTTGGGACTGCCGCTAGTTTTCCGCGTCGTTTAATAAACAAAATGTAAACAAAGTTTAACAGCAATGACACACATGCCTCTCCCTCTGTTCCTCCCCCTCGAGTCCTATTCTCCTTTGGGCCATTGTTGAAGGTATTGCCTTTTTATTAATATAATTTATGAGCCTGTGGTCGTGAACAAACGCGAGCAAGGTGGAAATGCAAACATACCATGCCCAGCAGCTGCTTAATTTCACAGCACATACATTTGATTAACTTAATTTAATAGTATTTCTTCCTGTTTCTAGCTCATTTTGATATATTTGTTTGTTTATTTAATTTATTATTATAGATATGAGCCATGCTCTTTGTTAGCATCTAAAAAAGGTTTGTGTATTTTTAGCATTTCATTAAGAAGTCATACCTCAGATATGTCCTATTTATATTTTATTTCTCATAAATGGAAACATGTTATTAGATTTATAAGAGAAGCTATGACATTTTTCCTTAAACTTTTTTTTACTTGGCTAAAATCTTAACTTTTCATACCCTTTTTAGTGAATATCTTAACTATTTCGTAACCGATCGAAAAACAGAATACCATTTACGAATCAGGGAACTAATCTGCTTTTAGTTGCGTAAAAATGGAGCAAAAATAGGAAACTAAAAATTTGACCCAATTTTTGGTCAAAATCATGATGGTACCCCTTGAAAAAATATCGAAAAATGGTTCAAAATTTTTGTTGCCATGTTTTGATTTAAAAGGATTCTCCTGAAAGTTCTGAGATAGCGAAGGTATAACATTTTTGAATCTGTCAAGTATTGGCCGAGTTATAAACACTTTTCCGTAAAAAATCTTTAAACAACTCGAACCCTTTTTTATGTTCTTTTATTCATTTTTTTTTTTATTTTGGCGATGGATTACAAAAGTGTAAGGTGTTTAACAATAATTTAAGCCTTTGTTTTTCAAAGCTATTGGTTCAATTAAATATTTTTTTAAAGAGTTTCTTTTATAGGCTTTACATTTTCTCTACAAAACAAAAATGGAGTTTTTATTCCTTCTTGATTATCAACGAATCTCCCAAAACACTATTCACTACATCAAAACAATCTACGGTAGCAAACCATTGGCTAATGAGCAGACAATTGACTGGCCAGCCAAAAAGGACGAAGCCAGCTGCCTGTTATTCAGGACATATATATTTACCTGAAACCCACTGGCCAAGGACCTCATCAAGTAAATCAGGCATGAAACCATTATGGCTAAAATCTGTAAACAAAAACCACGGGGCCACTGCTCTTTCTTTAATCACAGCCAACAGATATGAAGGATACGGGACGAAGGACTCAGGGCGATAGAGAGGCTAAGGATCAGCTGTTGGCGACGATCATCGAACGATAAAATTAGGCACAGCTTAGCCACATTTTCAAAGTCAGAACAGGCAGGCAAACAGGCCAGGACACTCCAGAATGTCCTTTGCCTTGTCTAAGGAGCTGAGAAATCTCAGCTGGAGAGGATCGGCTCGGGGCAGTCGGCTCGCTTTGAAATACTTAGCTGGAGCCGAGGCAGTAGCAATTGACACAAAAGTATCGTGTTTCCCAATTGTCGCCAGGACTCCTACTTACTGAATATCCTGTCGGAAATGGCCTTCGTTGGCAATCGCTTGTTGCGGTGTGTTGGCAATTTAGTATTATTTGTGCGATCGGAAAATCCAAGGACACCCGATACTTCTTAAATAAGTATGTCTGCTCAAGTGGTCACAAATTACAGTAATTATCAAGCGCCCCTCTGCTACCTTTTGTGTGGCAGTCGCCACAAAATGGCGCTCATTAGGGCGCTTCCCTTGGTCCTGATTCCGCCCACCCAATCGACAGCCCACCATGGGAAGCCAGCCAGACAATCCGCGTAATTATTTCGCTGACAACTTTTGATGAATTAAATGCGAAATAAATTTTTAAGTGTGCATAACGAGCGCTGCAGTTCAGTTGCTCTTCATGCCACAAATGAAATGAAAATATACTGCGGTAAACAGAGCCGGACGCAGGAGGCGGGCCTCGTCCTGGCAAGTCCTGGGAATCTTTCTTGAGCGTCTGTTGAGCGGATTTAACTTGTTTAATTACCGCTGTATTCAGTTGGCCCACAGTATTCAGTTCATCAACTGTCGTTCATTACGCCGCATAATTTACACGAGGGAAAAAATAATTAATAAATATTTATAATAAGTCTTTAATAAAATATTAAAATAAATACATTGACCAATAAGAGCTGCTTCCATTGAAAGTGAAATTAAAACTTCAATAATTCCCTTAAATACATTTCATTAAACGGGTATTCTGGAAAAAGGATTAATTTTTTCCTCTGTAAACTTTTTCAGTTTCGTGACGACTTGAAAATGTTGGCAGTTTTTCAAGTGCACCACCATCGCCACCACCCACCGCCTTAAATCTCATTCACTTGCTCTTGTTTTTGCGTAACTGTTACCATTTTAATGCGCTCGAGTGTCGAGGACGAAATTGATTTTCGTTACCCATTGTGTTGGGCACTCTGAAGAGCATTTGGCTCATAAAAATTTTGTTCGAACACACAACCAGGCACACACAAACACATCGAGAAGGTGGAATTGCACTGAGCCAACTGCAAATATCGTTGAGGCAAGCGGGAAAGACGAAGGCGGTACTCGTCACTCAATTTCATAGAGCCACAAATACGAAACTCAAAGGGCCACTTGATAAATTTCATATATTTATAGCCCGCAGAGTGACGCGCTGAATTTGCACACTGAATGAAATTCCACGAGCACACACACACAGACACACAGGGAGAGGGTCTTGCCTCTAAAGGAGCAGGCACACAAGCACACAAGGACATTTTGGATGTCCCGAAATGTAGATGGGCGGCTTACCCCAACCCTGATGCCTCCAGCCCACACTGACGGCCCTCCTTCTATGAGCAGCTTGGCCAAACACTTGCACAAATAAAAGATCTACTTCAACTTATTGAATTTTCGTTGATAGAAACAAGATGAAAAAAGTTTGGGATTCTATTAAATATGGGATACACTTTCGTGGGTGAAAAAAAGGATAAAATTATAGGAGTTTTATTTTTGACATATTGTTTCATTTCCTACCCATCTTCCCAAAATCTTAACCACAAAACTAAAACAATATAAATAATTGACCAAATTATAGTAATATTAACCAACCCCTACCTTAGTAAGCGTATAACAGGTCCTTCCATTCGAAGGATATCTTTTGGTTCTATACCTTTTACACAAAGAACGGCCACAAAAGGCAATTGCATATGAGTTTTATGAGAGCTTCCTTTGACAAAACAGGACTGGGCTGGCTGGAAGGCGGACCTCCTCCTGGAGCGTCCTTTTCACTGTGACAAATCCGTTAAGTCGCGCATTTTATTCATTATTATTACTTTGCCTGTATTTGTGCAGGGAATTTGGCTGTGACCTCGCCCATTTATACTTAAATATGTATACCCCCTTCCCATTCCAAATCGTAAGTGTAATCAAATTCCAACCCGAATCGGAGCACACATCCACTGACTGAGTGAGTGAGCAGGAACTTGACGGCGATTTATTATTAAATTTGAGGCCATTGCACATACAACGCCGAGGATATCCTGCCGAGAGCCCGAATGCTGTGCGAAATTATTAAAAAGTAATTATGGCACAAATTACGAGATATCAATATAGCATTTAGCTCTGCATGCGGCCCACTACAAAAGGACTCACCCTGTTCCCTGGGCAGCTACCACCACTTGAATTTTGGTGCAAATCCTTTGGCTCAAAACATCCTTTAGAATTGCATTTCCTCGACGTCTGTCTGCTTGTATCCTCGACACAATGCTATAGATTCTTGTTGGTCCTTTGTTCTATTTTTCTTGTCGACTTTTTCGGCTCCTTGGCCGTCTCCTCACTTCACATATTAGGCAACATTTCCTGAGCTCCGCAAATTTGACATAATATCGAGATTATTATACGATTTGAACTCTCCGCCTTTGGCCTTTAGGGGTAGGTCGTCGGTAGTCAGTCAGTCGACTGCTTTGGATTCCCAGCCGAAGATCATTTTCATTTGACTCCGGCCACGGAAAGGTCGAGCTGAGTTTGTACACAATCAATTGTAGCATTTGAGCAATTTATAATGAGACTTTGTAGGACCATAAGCCCTACTTAAGGTACAAACTTTTCAACAATTATTTTGTAGTGCATTCACGAGAGGAAGAGAATGTTGTAGAACTAAAAAACTGCCTAATGGAAACAGCTGAAGAGATTAATTTTGGAATTGCAGTCAATAAAATAGGAGGATAATAGTCTAAATGAGGATCTTCCTGAAATGTTTTGCCATCTTCAGACTTCGAGATCAAAATTAATTGAGTCTAGGAACTCTAGGGAGTTTTAAGATAAATAGTAAAAAACAATTAACAATAGCTCCAATAAAATATATAAAAAAAACTTATCATTTTATTCTAAAGATGATAAGTTCTGTATATTAAAAATTATTCCAACCTATCCTTTACAAAAATTATCAATCATTATCCTCTATAAAGTATCTTAAAGGTTCAAAACAATAAAAAATAATCAGAAACAGGGTTTTCTAAACCAACCAAACTTGTATTACCTTGTTTTTAGGTTCTATTAGGGAATATTTAAGATCCACCAAATTTCTAAACAATTAGGACCTTAAATTTCCTCATCATCACCTTAATTAATATTTATACGCCATGGCTTATATGACAATACCCCCCAAAATTTATAAAATACTTTAGTTTTTCTTTCATTTGATTTATTTTTCATCGACATGTTCTCCTTAGTAGATAGTCTAACATTAAGTGTTTATTTCTAATAGCTCGAAGATATTTTACAGATAGATTATTATTCGGGTGTTACAACTACGTTAACTTTGGCCAAAGACAAAGCATCCAGATCCAATATATAACTAGGCGGCTATATCTACAGCATATGTACATAACGAAGTCGTGGTGGCATTCAGTCCTCGCCCTTGGTGACCACGGAGACGGGTGTGGAAGCGTTGCTGCTGGCTCCGGTGGCGCTGCTCGGCGACTGGGCGGCCGTCGAGGTGAGCATCAGGCCGCCCGAGATCAGGGTGGTGGCACCGCCTCCGGAGGGCGAGACCGCATGCGGCGGGGGGTGCTGATGGGTCACCAGTTTGGGGCTCTCGCGGGGACTGCTGTTGCTGCAGGGCGGGCTCACTTGGCTCACCTGGTGGAGCGAGAGATTCTGCGGATATCCGGCCGCCGCCGCTGCTGCCGCGGCCGCTGCTGCAGAGCCACTGGCTGCCGCCGCCGCTGCCACAGCTCCCGCTCCAAAGATCCCGTTCAGATTGCTCAGACCCATGTACTGGGAGAGCAGGGTGTGGAAGTTGGGCAGCTTGTAGTGAGGCGCCATCAGCTGCTGCGGCAGCAGACCGGCGGCAGCGGCTGCCGCGGGATTGAAGTGCTGGTGGAGGGCGAAGTGCGGGGGCCAGAACTCGGTGGGCAGGGCGCCGGGGTGTCCGGGCAGGCCGTGGGGCGGCAGGGGAATGCCCAGCGGAAACTCCGGAAGACCTGAAACGAACAAAAGGGATGGTTGTGGGTGATTCGGGGTTGATGACAAGCGGCATAATTCCTAATTATGTTGCACACGTAATTTGGCAATTTGTGGACGAATCAAATGCGTATCAGTGGGTGGGTGGTTGGGCTGTGGTGCAGGGGTAGGACACTCACCTTGGTCGGGCAGGAGGTAGCCAGCCTTGTCCTGATTCATAAACTTCTCACGTTTGCGCCATTTGGCCCGACGGTTCTGGAACCACACCTGCAAGTGCACAGAAAGATGGAACTTTAGAGTTGCTGTTTTGCGAATGCAAATTGTGATACCCCTTAAAAAAAGGGGGGTTACAATGTGATAATTATAGGTATACTATTTTTATAATTAAACCAGAGGGTTAGGAAGTAGTTATGATCTATAGAGCGCTGACAATGCTAGGAAGGAAGGAATAAATTATAAAAAATCAGGCTTAATTCCCTCTTCTATTAATTTGTGGATTTCTTGATTTAAATATTAATATAGGGTATCCTGTTGTACAAACTTTATCCACAAAAACCAACTACTTTCCAAGAGTCTTATAATTGCTTTGACTTTGACCAAAACTCGAACAATTCGGCAATCTATCAATCTGTCAGTCCAAAAACTTGTGTCCTTCGGTGGCTTCTTCTGGGCCTCTAGTCTCGCATGTCTGAGCCGAAAGGATATGGGCTGAGTGGAAGGGTTAGCAGGAGGACGGGGAGACCAAATACAATGGCATCCAATCGGAAGTGTTCTACTCTGATTTGCAATGCTCTCAGCAGTCTGTCTTTGTCTGCCTCCTGGCTGCCAAAAGGGTGTCTTATGCATTTTTCGACACTTGCTTGGGGTTGACTGGACTCCAGACCTCCGGCATCCTCCATCCTCCCACTGCTGCACCCCACAAAATAGGCGTTGGCTGCACACACATTTCCGCTCCGAGGATGGGAAAGGACGAAGGATTTTCAATCTGAGGAGAATCTCTGGCATTTGATGCGAAAATTAATTGTTTGTAAATTGAAATCACTTGACAACTGGCTGTAAGGTGGCTGTACTCCGGGCCAGAGTCCGAGACAAAAGAGTAGTCGTCTCCGCAATTATAGACACCCTGTGTTTTAGATGCCACAGCCCCCTATCCCCTTTCAGGGCTTTGCAACAATGGGTGCAGTTGAGCGAGTAGTAAATTAGCAACGATTTCCTTGCTATAATTGCTGCCAATTATTGTCCTGTGTCCTGTGTGTGTCTCTCTGATGGGACGACCCATGTTGTGGGCTTTTTAATTGTCAGTTGGTAGCAATTATAATGCGAACAACTTAAACCACTGTGCCGGAGCAGCGAGGCAGTAAAAGTTGAATTGCGGATATCCGTTCAGCATTTATCACACATGTGCGATCAAAACGAGAGAAAAACTGTCGCCAGATCGCAAAAAATGGGTTGAACTTAAAGACTAGACTCTTCTCAGTTTTGTAAAAAATTTAATTTGGCTTCGTGAGTTCAATCCATGGCTACTCCTTTTTTTTTATTGGAGTGACCCCACCATGTGCTCGCAAATCCCAAAATAATTGCCCACTCATCGACCCCAAACCAGGCGGGGATTAAGCTTCAGATACTTTGTATCCATCGCCGAAAAAAAATGTTACAAAAATTGTGGTGCAAAACGGACAGCTCTAAATATGTTACTATTGAAGTACCCCCCTAAACTCTCTGCATATGCGAATCAATGACCAATTACAGTTAATCTGCTAACAGATACGCGGATGACAGGATGCGAGGATGTGAGTGCCAGGTTGCGAGGATGTGAGCATGCGAGGATGCGGATGACGACCGTGAAGCGGACAATTTGTATGCAGAGTCGGTAATCCCTCTGTGAGTGCTTAGGTCAAGTTGTTTTACATTCGCTTTATTTTTTGTGCCCCGACTGTGATTGCGATACTTTCATTCCCCCCCTCGGCATGCGAGCATATAGTAACGAAATTGAGCGAATCGCTCAATCAAAAGTGAAGTGTTTGAAAGCATTCTCAACCGAGATCAAATTGTGTTCAGAGTCGGGGCGAAAGGACACCCTAATTACATGTGTAGTCGACTGTGTATATGGTGTGCGTCCATGCCGCGTGTCCTGCAGCCGGCAGACAGCCACCCAAAGACACTTTAATTGTTTACCCAAAAGTAGAGTTAATAAAAATACCAACACCATGTGAGCGCGGCCAATTTAATCATTTGGAAAATCACAATATCTAATGTCCTTTCAGCCAACCCCTAAAAATCCGGCAACCCCCTGACTATATCTAAGCGTGTTTGTATACAAAGTGGGGTTTAAGTGTTTCAAAGGATATTTACAAATTGGGTTCGGTGATTGTTTCAGGGGCTTATCCATCAAGTTCCCAGACTCAAAAATCGGAATAATTTGTTTTGGTTTGCTTGTTGTCGACCAGTTAAGTTTGAAGATTAAAAATCTATAGAGCTTAAAACTGTAATAAATATTTTCTGATCCATATTATGAACAATATTACTCTTTCAATATAAGCTTCTCTAACAAGTAAGTACTCATAAGTATCGTGTATCTATTGTCGAGTCATACAACATATTTAATCAAAGGATATTTAGCGCCTGGTCTAATTCAGAAATAATTGCCTAAATCGTTATAGATTTCAATTACCTGGACGCGTGCTTCGCTCAAATCCAAGCGCATGGCCAGATCCTCCCTTGTGAACACATCGGGGTACTGGGTCTTCTCGAAGGCCCGCTCCAACTGATGCAATTGAAACGTTGTAAATGTTGTGCGAGATCTGGAAAATCAAAGGCCGATGGTTAGATGCTTGTTGCGAGCTGGCGATAAGGGCCGAGGCAAGTACCCTTTGTTTGGATGTTTTTTAATAGCGCGACAATGGGTAAATACGATTTGATCTGGTAAGCGGATTGTCGCTGGAAACTCACCTCCGAACTTTGCGCGGCCTCTCCATGTCGCTGAGATCATGGCCATTGTTCAGGCTGGAGGACAGCTCGTCATCATTATCCACATCCAGTCCTCCGTCCGTGTTCGTCGGCGAGTCCTCGCGCTTGGCCTGGACCTGCAACTGCTGCTGTTGCTGGTGCGGGTGTTGCTGCTGCGGCATTTGGAGGTTGCTGGTGCCATTGGTGTTGCCACCGCTGCTGTGGAGGTGATGGATGTGGTGCTGATGGGCGTGGTGGGGATGCGTAATCAACACTTCGCTGGGCGTGTCTGCGGGATGGAGAATATGCGAGGGGAAAAGTTAAACAATTTCAAATTGAACTCGAGGACCCGCGAACAAAAAGTTTTTCGTTTGACTTTGAAAATCAAAAGCTGAGCGGCTTTCAGCGGCAGCTGCTGTCGCTGCTCGATGCGAATTGAAATTCATTCAATTGTATCTGAAGTAGTTATATCCTGAATTTTAACCCTCCTTTTTTTCTAAAGCAAAGTCTCACTCGAAAGCTACGCAAATTGATTTGGCAATCAATAACAAATAAATAAATATAAAGCCAGAAAAAGTTTTCCCCCTCGCCCAGCCGGGCATTTATAAATTCAAACATATATCCTTTCACACGGCCCCGGGCGAATCGAGTACTGAGATTTTTGAAAACCGGAGAACGTAGAACGTGTAATCAAACTTTAATGAACCTCAAATTAATCAGATTCACAATGGCACCAGGACACCAGGACACGTCTGCGCCCAGCAGGACGCCTTCTCTGGATGTATCCTTATCGTATTTCGTAACATTTATGCAGCCTGTTGTGGCGAAAAGGTAATTTCCAGCTAGCATCAAATTACGCGCCAGCCATCGAGAACGAGGCTCACAGGATGCAGTATCCTGCGGTGCGCACGCCGCTCGTTGTCGCCAAATTGCGACCTGAGATTGGGCCAATGGGTGCCCTGCCTGAATGCCGCGTCCTGGCTGGCAATTTTAGATCCTGCTCCCAGGCTTCGCACACCCAAAAGAACTTCCAATCTAATTAGGGGTCTAATGGCGCAATTGCTTTTCATCCTCACTCCCGGCCTCTCCTTAAACGCGTCACATCCGGCCAGATTTGTTTTGATACACTGATACACTTTTTTTTATTCTTTAGACGATCCTTGGGCGAACAGCCTCCTGCAGCTCGACCACGCCCCCAAACAAGAGTTTCTACAAGCTAACAACACCTCCCCTATTGTCGTGATATGTTTCCTTTTTTTATCCTGGGTGGAGCACGAGGCTCATGTTTGCCGTAAAGTTTCTGTCTCTCCCACACTAACTACCATAAAATGTCCTTTCCGAGCAATTTGCATATGATATGGCAGATAGGACAGGACAACTTCGATGGGTGTCTTGTTATGGGTATTCAAATAAATCTTTTTGATGTGGTCAACTGTTTTGGACGGAGCATGAAGTTTGATAATGAAGCTTTACTTTGGGTGGGTTTTTAGAGTGTGTTTGGACAATTTATTCCTCACGAAATTAAGCTAAGCTTAAGTTTAATTTAGAGAAGTATAGTTTATAGATAGCTATGAGATTTATGGCTTGAGTAAACCATAAAGCCATATTTACTTCAATTTTCTTTGAGTTTTTAATTTAATTTCAATTTTGAAACAATTCTAAGATGAATTAAGTTGAAAAGAGGCTCATGAAGATTGATTTGCAAGACTGTATCCTTATCTCTTGAAGTGTTTTAAAGAATCTTATTTTTACTTTTAATGAGAATTTCAAACATTTAATTTTGAACTATTACATCTTTAAACTTAAGCCTAGAAATATCCTACATAAACCATTGATTTCATATATCATATTTAAATATAATTAAACATACTTTAATGACATTACATGTCATGTTTGTCACCTACATTTTAAAAATGTAATAGTTTATTTTATAATGAATAAAAATGAGTTAAGCAATTGATATCCATTAGACCCCCTATGGTATAGGCAGAAAATGGTTGAAAAGATCTTGTCGAAGAAGAATCCCCGTCGGCATATGTAAAAATTTCGAAAAAAAAACCTTAAAAACAAAAATAAAATCCCCAAATGTAGACTTACCACTGCGTTTGATCTGGTGCTGATTCCCCAGGATCTGATCGATGCTATAGACGGCACGGGGGCGAGATACGGGGCTCTCCTGTACGGGGGCGGGACGCATGGCTGGCGGCATGATGGGATGATGCTGGTGGTGCTGTGTGGTTGTTGTGGTCATCATAGCTCCACCAAGAGCTATAGTTTATGGCACTTGTTTTCGATTTGTCTTTAATATTCTAATCTTATTTTTCCGTTTTAATTGAATTTATATTTTTAATGTAGATCAAGCTTTGAAACTTTTATTTTATTATTTGATTATTGTCACTGAATTAGATATGTTGCGAACGATAGCACGCACCGAGAATGACTTAGTTAATTGTGTTTGACGACAAATCGATTTGATTTAATTCTCACAGCCACTGCGACGAGCTGGAAGCTATGTGTGCGCTGTAATCAGGAAGCGAGTGGTGCGAGTAACGCTCGGGACGATCAACAACCACCGACTGAGCTCGTCTCCTGCGGAACCGTACCATTAAATACGTCCAACGATTGTTGGCTGCTCCTGCCAAAGGTTGTTGCTGTTGCTGCCGCTGTTGTTGTTGTTGTTGCAAGTGTATGGCAGGAACGAAATGGGCGAGGCTGAGCTGACATGCTCACTGTTCCCAATCCTTCGTTTGGGCCCATGTCCTGCCGCTAGGCCGTCTCGCTTGCTCTCACTTTCGCCCTCCCTGTCTGTCTAGGGGTGGCAGCCGTATCTGTGTCTCTGTATTGCAGGTAGCTTTTGTTAAGGGGTGTTGGCTCTGCTCTCTCTGGGACTCTCCCTCTCGCTTTTCCTCTGCTGCCCTCCCTTTCGCTCGTCGTGCCTCTCTTTCCATCTCTCCATCGCCCCATTATCCCGATATCGTCCCATGGCCCTAACTAGTTTGTTTCATTAATTTTATTTATTTCACAAATTTGTTGCTTGTTAAAAACTATCTGTGTATCTCATGGATACTGCATCTCCCTCCCGAAACGCCCCTGTTCATCTCTCTCCCTCTATGGTATAGCATCCCTCCCCTGGCTCGGGCTCATCCGCAAATCACAAAACAGGTTGTACCACTGGCGCGGTGCCTACCTGAATCCTGCCATGTCGGCCATTTGCATGGACATCGTTTATTAGTTCCGCTTCCATTTCGGCGATGGATTAATCGCCAGGATTCGGGCCGCAGCGGCTTGAGAATGTGCCCTTGGTTTCATTGAACAATCCAAACGATCAATGAATCCCTTTACTTAGCAGGGAGTTTCGCCGGATCGGGGCCGTAAGTTCATTGATTAAACTGATCTCGTTCCACAGGATCTATCCAGGGGGATATTTTTAGTAATCTTCTAGAGAAAACAGGTACAGTACGGATCTCAGTATCATAAATTGTTTTTTATTTTACAATCCATATTGGTATTAAAGTTTAAATCAATTGCATAACTACATAAAACGAAACCTAATCTATTATAATCTATTATTATATTTTTAACATTTCTAATTATAGAATAATTTAAAGAAAATAAGTTGAATTTTAACTATTAGATCTAACATATTATAGATTCCCTTAGTACCAATACCTATATTTTCTTAAAATAAAGAAAATAATCTATTTTCTTAACATAACTCTCAAACTTTTAAACCCTAAACCTTGGTTTTCTGATTTTCTGAGAGTCTTTACATGAGTATTATAGGACCTATATCTTAGGAGTATAAATTATTTAGTAATTTCAAAAATAGATCATTTTAAAATTAAGATATATGCTTCGTTAAGCATTCATATAAAAACGTAGATGTTAAATAATTTATTTTCAAAATGTATACCATAAGAGAAAAACTTAAAAAAATTATAGATCAATAATTTTTAGACTGTTTTTCTTAACTTATAAATATAACTCATAATAATACTATCTTCCTTAACCATTCGATAACTATTATTTTTACAAATATACAAACTACAACCTAAAACAACATTGCAAATGATTTTAACCTTGAATAAATGATACCTGACGGGCCCTAGGATTTGTGCTGAGCAACTGCTTAGGCCAGGCTATATCCCCAAAGCTCTGCCACAGGCCCTGGTTGCATAACACAAAAGAAAGGCAAACGTGGCTAAAAGTGGTCACCGAAACAACAAAACGCATAATGCCCATAGTGTCTGAGCTGAAACGCCGCTTACAATGCTGACAAAACGCAGCAGCGGATTTATGTTCTCTAATTTGTCGAAACTTACACAATTCCTTTGTGCCCCGAACCCAAACAAAGCCAAAGATCGTGGCACCTTTTAGCCAAAATGCATTGGCCGAGAACGAACACGTTATTTCCCGTGAATTGTGAACAAGTAGCCAGGACAAAGCTGCCGCTGACCGTGCTCATTAATGTGCCAGATGTATGACGCCACAGGACACACAGGACTCGCAGGACCCAGGCTGCCGAATAGAGGCCAAGACGTCGGCTTAGCGCCCGTCTAAGCCAAGGCGCTTAATCATATTTTCATAGGACGCTTTCCTATGCAGATTTCATTCAGAAATCCGATTTTGTGTTCGTTTAATTTAGAGCTGCGGCTAGGAGGGCAGCTGAGGACTAAGGACTCTTTTCTGGGGTACCTGCTCGGATCTGTTAGAGCGTAATCTATGATCTAATGTAGAATGCATAATACCGTTGAAATTTGTGCAGCATCATCGGCGCACTTAGCCATAATCGTGGCCTCATTAGTCTGGCTAACAAGCTGGAGGAGGGCTGGCCTGGGGGGGTTTCTGGTTCGGTAATTGTCGATACCCGATCTCTGATATAGCCCAGGATAGGCCCTAATTTATCCAGGGGCCAACTGATTAAAGTACTTCGATATGCGATCATTAAATGATTAATCTTTTAGTGGTTTTTATGAGTTATATTTTTAGTTTAAATAAATTATCATACTATCTTTATTGTTTATCTAATTATTCATTGTTTAAAATCTTAAATACAATATAAATTTTAATTCCTAATGAAAAAACTTGATTTTAATACTACTGTTTCCCTGGAAAACCCTATTGTTCTATTGCACTCTTGAACACTTTCAACTAATTTAGCCAAAGGAGCTCTGTAAGCACCACCCCCAGACCCCAGCAGAGGGCTGATACTGATACCGAAAGCCATTTAGGCCAAGTGTGAAATGACAAATTGAATCAAAGTCAAACTCAAACTCATTGAAGGCTACACTTCATTGTAATTTCTAAATTAGCACATCAATTGAGGCAGGCGGCCTGTGGGTGGGTGGTTGTTGTAAAACGGGGTGGAGGACACGACGGAGTCCTCGGAGAGCTCGGCTAGGAAATTTCTCCAGCGAATGGCTCTCTCTCTCTCCCTCTCTCCGAGGGGGGTTTCTCTCGGGACATGCGCGTTGGAGGTGAAACCTCATTGGATGTCCCAACAGTTCACTCACACACACCGCGGTCCCAAGCCAACGAGGTCATTATCGTGTTACCCCCAACCCAACTATCAGCCACCCACTTGGCCACCCCCGCCCCGCCGCTGCTGCTGCGTGTAAACACATTGTGGCAATTCTCCCTGGTGCCATGACTGTGTTCACCTTTTAATAAGGTTAACTGCAACGACGACAACAACCCACAAACACCCACTTTCCACAATAGAGCCACCAGGCGGAAAAGGTGCGGGAGGGGGTGGATAGCTCGGGGTGGTGCCGTGACGGCGGTGGGGCAGATGCTGTTGGCAACATTTTTCTTAACCATTAAATCTAATATATCAAAGTAATAAAATGAATTTCGTTCGTTGTGTGGGTGCGTGCGAGTGTGTTAGTGACTGTGGGCGGGGTAAGTATCCAGCAGATGGCAAGTATCTGATGGATACGTGTGTGCGTTCGTCCTTACCCTCCACGTAATCCAACTAAAAAGTTTTCGTCTACTTACAGTCTGCCTGCCATTGTCTACCGGATATTCTTGTGAACAGGAGCGGGAATGGGTTAGAGGTGAGCTGATAGCTTTTCTTATGACTGGGATATTTAATTTTGAGTTCTAACCCACTGAGTGGGTGGCGAGTGGGCTAGTGGGCGGATGGGTTGGGTGCATGGCTGCCACTGACAACATTTTTGAGCGGTTTTCTGAAAGAGGCAGGAAAAGCCGATTGACTTTTTAAATCATTTGGGGAAGGGGAGATGGAGAAGGGCATGATGTACTCTGATGATACCTTATCGAATAATTTTGGGTATAAGGAGGGAAGTAGTAGTATTTTGGTACCTAAGAACCTATCTTTCAAATTCTTCTCAAAACGCAGCCCCCATAAGTGTATCCTTTGAATCCCATTCAGTTTCCCATCTTTTTATCGAGTTTATTAAAACTTGAGGCTTCTGAAATTCGCATAACCCAAGTTAAATCGTTTTCCAAACTCCTCGGGCGAGTTCGCAATTGCTCTCGCAAAATGTAATATGCGGCAGCAAATGAGCAACTTCTGAGGTTGGCTAGCAACCGCAAACCGGGCCAAAACACACACCACCCACACCAAGAGGTCGGAGATACTGATACTGAACTGCGAGTACTGGGGGGCCGTGTCGGCCACATTCACGTAGCCAGGCGCTTGAATTATCCAATATCCTTGACTGTTTGTGGACGTAATCAAACAACTGTGACTGGAGACGGGCCAAGGCTTGTTTGACATTTAGTTCCATAATCTAATATAGCGGTGGGAGGAGGCCAACTGATTGAGAAATGCGGAAGGACCCAGGCCGCATACAAATATCCCGGGTAAAGTTTTGTATCTAAACATTTTTGTGCCCAGCATTATTGGCCACGTTTATTAAGTCCCGGGGCGAAAAGAATGGGTTAGTCGGAAGAAAAAGGAGTATTTTCAACGGAACAGGAACAGGACATCCAGGTTTTATTTTTTAGCCAGCGGAAGAGCCGCCTTCAGGCACACTTTTCCAGATCCTTGGCGATAAGCCCATAGTATTCCTAGTATGGAAAACACTTATCTGCGAATTGGTCTACATATGCCAGATTAGTGGTAAATTGACACTCACTTCGGGCCAAATTAAAGCACATATGAAAGGACCATGCATGGTCGTACTTCTGGCAAATTTCTCGTCAAGATAAGCGGCTAAGGATGTGGACTAGAAGGCTCCTTTTCAGCCACCCTGGCCAGGAGGCTGGCTGCTCACTTCAAACGGCTCGGGGCCGACAAAAGTGTTTTCCCAATAATTATGCGGCTCGGCTTC